TGCTGACCACGTGGTAATGTTGCAAGGGAAACTTCCTATTTAGTTAAGGATCTCCAGCCCCTCCCGCTCCAAACGCTGAGAACGAAGTGACCTAAGGACGAGAAGGACCCGTCTTTTTGGCGTATTTTGGGGTCAGGTGTAGCCATTTTCCCTGCTCGTTCCCCGATCTATCCCGTGCAACTAAGCCCCCGTGATATTGCAACATGCACTGTCATTTATTTCGCAGCTCAAAGTATCTGCTATGAGGACGAAAAAACAGGGGCAGCAAGTCCACTAGCATGGACTGACACGAGCGCGATATTGAGTTTAATTCCATAATGTGATTTATGTTCGCAGATCTATAATTCCATAATTGTATGTGTTCCCGGATTAAACCACTGCATAGAACACTTTTTCGGGACATATCAGCCGCTTGTATGATCCTCTTCGCAAGAGGTGGGCTTCCATTGGCTTATATTGAATAAGTTCCGTTGTTTGGCTCATGAATATTATTTGACGTACCCTCAGAGATGTCTCAAACCTTGTCGTCCGAGCCAATCGATCTCTAGGGTTGAGTTGCTCCTTTCAAACCGAATTGAAGGCCTACGTGAGATCGGGATGATCTGCGATACCGTAGTTTCCACTTTATTTTCCACAAGTGTTTTTTAAGAGTGTTGTGGCGTGACCTGCAAAGATAATGACGCAATGGGACCAGGAGCGGACGATTCAACCCCCCCCCCCCCTTTCCCCCACCTTTCCTCCCCGCCCACCTACAAATTGGCATTCGGCCAATGGCGTGCACAATAAAATCATCTACCCAAAACGTTCTCTCCATCGCTAACGAGTGATATCTAGACCTGAGCCAAACAATATCATATTGATAGCGCAACTATCTCCAATAGTTGATAACAAATAGGGAATTATTTCTGCAAGATTTCGAGTTTTCGAGATTTTCAAAACTTCAAGATTTTCGAAGACAGGATTTCAAATCCCAAGATCTCTGCAAAAGATCCCAATTTGCATCAGTCAGGTGGAGCGATATTGGAGCCTCAGGATATCAGTTGACAGGCGAGCCGCCCCGTCACGAGCGTACCACCCATCACGAGTTATCAGTTGACAGGCGAGCCGTGCCGTCACGAGCGTATCACCCATCACGAGTCATCAGTTGACAGGCGAGCCGTGCCGTCACGAGCGTATCACCCATCACGAGTCATCAGTTGACAGGCGAGCCGTGCCGTCACAGGCGTACCACCCATCACGAGTTATCCCGCTCTCACCAGGGCAAGAATGGCGCCCGCCGAAGCAAACAAGCGTGGCACTACGAGCGTCTCCCAACGGAGGTGCCGTTCCACCGTACCGCCTGAAGGCAAGCCAGACGCCGTCTCCGGGGCGGCAGCTGACCGGAGCAAGCCGCCCAGCCAGCGGCGGACGTCCCGTCGGAAGGGACGAGCAGGGACTTCACTGCCCGAGCACCGGAGGCCGCATCAGCGTGCTCGACACTTCAGCCAGGACAGCGAGCCGGATCGACTCTACCGGGCCCAGAAGAGCAGCGGCTGAGGGTGCCGTTGCAGCTTACCCAGCGGTAGACAATACCTGCTTCACCGACGGGTCCTCCGAAAACGCGCTCAGGACGGGCGTTGATGACGTCATTAACGAAGAGTGACGCCGAGGAAACGCCACCTGGAGCGTATTTGGTGGCTGGTGGACAGACTAATGCCGGTCAGAACGGCGGCGCTCCTGGCGGCGGCTCACCACGCGGCCAGCCTGGCCAGCCTGGACAGGCTAAAGCCGGTCAGAATGGTGGCGTTCCTGGCGGCGGCTCAGCACGCGGCGAGCCTGGCCAGCCTGGACAGGCTAAAGCCGGTCAGAATGGTGGCGTTCCTGGCGGCGGCTCAGCACGCGGCCAGCCTGGCCAGCCTGGACAGGCTAATATGCCAGTGAGAATTGTGGCGCTCCTGGCGGCGGGCCAGTACGCGGCCAGCCTGGCCAGCCTGAACAGCCTAATGCCAGTCAGAACGGCGGCGCTCCTGGAGGCGGCTCAGCACGCGCCCAGCCTGGCCAGTCTGAGTCGACATAGGACCGACCGAGCTGTCTGGATTCCGGACCATGCGGAAATCGTGGGCGAAGGGTAAATGAACCCAGCAGCCAATGGGGGCAGCCAGCTACACCAAAAGAAATGAAGGTGTCGACCAGTTCTCGGCTAAAGCGCTCTCCGACCTCCGGGCCTGAAGAAGTGGCCTGGTACCTACCACACGACCGTGCCGCCCGAGTAGGTCCAAAACAGACCGAACAGGGGCCCCAGTCTGAAGCATGAGGATGGCCGGCGCAGACACCAGCACGTGGTGCTGCATCAGCTCCGCGTCAGCCAATGTCCGCTGTCTTGTGCAGCGCCGCTCCGGCGGAACAGACCCTGCTCCGATGGCCTGTGCCCGGAGTGTGGGGTGCTTGAGGATGCTGAGCACCCAAGCTGTGACTGCCAGGTTTTACTCTAACGAGCGGCCGGGCCGGCCCTCCCTGGCCACACTCGGACGCTGGCGATGGCGGAGGACGTCCCAGACGCCGTAGCTCGCTTCCCGCGACGGACTGATTTCTTGCGGAGGCCCAACAGTCGGCCCGGCTTATTCACCAGATGGAAGAATGTGGTCCATGGGCTGAAGTCTCACTCGTAGTAGGCTTAAAAGTGCTTCATAATTACAGGGTAATGACGAAAAATAAGTCTGAATCAGCCATAATTTACAAATAATTTTAAAATGACATGTTTTGGACCATAGTCCATGGGCACTAGTAGTAGTAGGGCCCATGGTTAGGATCCCACTTCATGTTCCAATTACTCCAAATATGCTACATGTTTTGATCACGTCATTGCATTTTCAGTGTACTGTTGGTGCTCTTGTTGAATAAACATGAAACAATGCCTTTGAAATATGCCACTGCATTTTATCAAATTTGGAATATCAGGTCTGTCAGAATTTTTGCCAGCTATAGCCCCCCCCCCAAAAAAAGGCAACAATGGCCAACAAGTGGCAGAAACCAGCTTCAGCCAGCTTAAATGCCCACACTTCCTGACACTGACCTAAAAACAAGTCATGAAACACTAACATTGTTAAAACAGCTAACAGCAGGATCTAATAAACATAAGAGGCTGAAAAACTGTTTGTGTGCAATTCTCTGATGATGTGGTGGATGCATTACCCTTACTTCTTTCCTTCAAAACATATTATTGTAGAAAGATCTAGCCATGGGCCTGCTAATCTTAAATTGAACATGGACCTGAATCTGTGCATAGAAACCTCCACTTTAAATGCAAGATATAAATAACCATAACTTCCACCAACCAATACCAATGAACCTTAGATGATTATTTCTGAAGTGTAGTATCAATTATGAGGATAATTGTGAGTACACATCAGTTATAGTAAATTATTAGCACCATTATCATCATATCAATCACTATCATGATTAAGTAGCATCATTCATTATAACTAAAAAGTTTAACATCAAAATTATCCATAATGAAAAATTGAGATCATAGTTATGCATAAGAAAAAAAGCACATGTTGGGTCATATGATATTATCAGTATCTTCTTCAAAGGTTTTAAGGAGCATTGACTGCAATTGGTCATGCAGTCAGTGTTCTCCTCCATTTTGAGTTCTTGTAATTAGGATGTTGTGTACTGGAAATGTGGGGACACTTGCAACATGGCAACATACTGACCAGTACTTCAATTGCAGATCAACACACATCAAACAAGCCTAAGTGCATGAAGATGGCATTGCAGTTCAATGCCTCTAGCCAGTCTGCAAAACATACCAGATTTAGAAGAGCTATTGATGTGGTGCAACATGATTTCAGTGTTTAGTAAATATGCTGTTCAGAATTTCATAATTTGAGGATATCATTACATCCTCAAAACATTAGTTGAGAACTATATCATGGTACTATATCTTGAAATAATGCTCACAAATGCTAGATATGAATGACAACCACTATATTCTTCTCAGCCTTGGTTGCTGCATGGCTTATGGAATGGCAGATTTGAGTAATGTTATGTCATGAATGTCAAGGTGACTTTGAAAGTCTCCAACACATACTTTCCTTACTTTTGAGGGTCTGTATCTCAGAAACTAAAGGGATTTAAGTCTTAAGAAAGGCAGGGCTGTGAACTGCACCAAAATGTCTTCAAGATGGTTATTTCAGTTCAAAACTACCATACAGATGAGGACCACTCCCTTTACAGCAACCCAGTAGCAAATTACATACACAAGAAAGGCTAGGCAGGATCTCCGCCCGTGAATTCTACCTCATATTTGCAACATGGTTGCCATATTTTTACATGACGCAGAGGCATATCGCAAAGTGGATATGTAATGCAAGCTGTGAGATGCCACATTGCGTGAATTGCATTACTCTTGAGCAGAGCAATGGAAACAATTGATAGCTTTGATGGAAATCAGATCATCACATATGTTTTTAAGTGCAATCATGAGAAACATTATTCATATAGATAAGATGGTAGCAACAGCCTCATTCCTTGGAGAAAAATTGTGAGAATGGAGATACATGTGCATTGATATTTCAGCAACTAGCCATTATCAAATCAATGGCGGAGGTATTCACGTCTGCTTTTGTTTTGATAAATGTGTGTTCCCAAAATCTTTATCCCCATCTCCTGGTTTCTATCTGGGGAGTAAGGCTATTATTACTGTACTATCTATACAAATTTGATTATGAAAAAATATTACAGACCACCCTTAATCATCAGATCATGGGTCCTGCTGCAAGCAAGAAAGCTGGTTAACCCTTTTGTGGAGGGATGAAGCCCGGCCCAAAATCTCATCAAATGGTCTGCCAACGCTGGCAGACTGGACCTTAGGGAGCTCACTCTTACACTGAGCAACCTACCTTTTACTATGGTACAACTACCATTCGTACCAATAAATGTCTCGCCGTTTTCAATCCTAATGCAGCTCAGAGCCTTGTCAACCCTGAAACTTATGTACATGTGTAGGTTCCACATACCTGCTTCTTCAGGGCGTGAACTGCGCCAAACCAGTGCTTTCTTGAGGCGAGGTAGCACAGCGCAGCGGAAGCAATAATCGCCGGAACACCGATGGATTTGACAGCCAAAGACCTTTTCGTCAGTATCTGAGAATTCTTGAAGGCAGTAGTCTCAAATTTATCGAAGAAACGCCACCAAGACCTCAAAAGCCTACCCCCGCTCCAGCCCGCCATTGTGATTTTCTGTTTACAATATCAGCTGTTGTCACCCAGCCAAACGCCGTTTTCAATCGGCTGCCATATATGAAGGAGAAAACAAATTTCCTTCTTCCCTGAGAAACGAACAAACGTGATTACCGAGAGCACTGAAGCAACGGCTTACATATCCCACTGAACGATTACCTGCTGAGTTGCCTCTAAAATGCACTTCACCACATTGAATTATGAAATTGATGCACACGAATGTAAGTTCGATTTAAGCATGAATTTAAGTCGGGAACGGAGTAAGTCAACAGTATGCAAATGATGTTGGGTAACTCCGCTTGCTGCTGTTTTGATTCAGTGTCGGAATCAACCGCAAAGAGACGTGAGACGAAGATGAAATCGATTTCGGGGAGGCAAAGTCAAGCCTCATACTGCACGTCATGCGAGCTTACGTGAGCTTCTTCATCAACCTAGACGTGGATTGGCATGAGGCGATAGTACGGTGTCATGCTGGCGGCATAGCAACCCGCGTTACATGGACTGAATGAATATCCACAATTCACACAGAATTGGCCTCGTTTTGTTTCGCGCTTATGAGACATGTGAAGGTGCAGCTTTCTATTCAGTCAAGGGTGCTCCATCCAACCCCCCAACCCCCCGCCAAACGCACAAATTTGAGAACAAATCGGGATAGGTCCTGGAAAACCTATTTGCCGGCACAATTTAGTTTAACTGTGTTATTTTTCATTGCTCAGCTTCCATGACTCATTTTGCGGAACTTCGTCCGATTGGGACATGCATTTTGAAAACCAGACAACGATGCACACATTGGACTCTCTATTTATCGTCTTCAGAGGCTATCGATTACTATCGCTTATGTTTGGGTCGACTAAACATTTCTTCTGCCCAAACCAGGCCACTCAAATCTTACTCCGACTCCGTTGCAAGTTAAGTGCTGCTTGAGTACCATGACTACGTGCACAAAGTTGTCGTGGGTTTAATTTGCCCAGTTCGCAGACATCGGCAACTCCCTTGTTTTCACTCAAGCCTGCTCCACATTTAGTTCATGGCCCCCGACTACCCAACTAAACGGATTTGATGATGCATTTTCAATTCAACCTCCAGGTGCACGGCACTGCATTTTCTTATGCATCATTCGATTCGTCCTTGAGCGATAAATAAGAAAGGCATAGTTTAGTGAAGATAATTTAATTTGCTATGAAATCAGCTTTCCAGCGATGCCCATGTGACGTCATCTGGGTATGAGTTTGGCATTGACCTTAATTGACCTAGCATTTTTTTCAGACATTTCGGCCATCGAATTCCTTCTATGTGATGGTGGCATGCTTTTTCTGGTCATTCACGCCACGTGAAAAGCTTTCATGCCTCGACATTTTTCACACGGTTGTGGACTGTCTCCCCATTAGAAATCGACGGAGATACAAATGGCCACGTCATGGGTTCCATGCTAGGGCTTATGGGTGTTGACAGAAAATGCCACAGCTTTTTTCAACACGATATAATCAATTACAATCCAGAGTAAATTTGTGCCGAAAATACAATCCTATCATTCGTTAATGGGTCATCGTGTTCTGTGATTTTGACTGCTAGGTTTAAAAGTAATCATAGGCGAAGGCACGTTTCAAAAAGTGAGGGAAGGCAGGTTCGGGGTATTCTTAGGAACGTCTCCTGAGAGACAAGGCAGAGCGACCAGCTAGGGGGAGTGGGAGATTCAGGACTTTGTTCACTTTAAATCCACCACAACAAATTTTGGAGAAAAACAAATGTTCTGTTATCATGCTCTGCATACGCCTGGAGCTTGGAGCTGTTTTTGACTGGTGCACAATCTTTTCTGCTCAACTGATCCGCACCATTTGGTAAACAAGAATATCCAGCTTTCTTAAATCGTTCATCTGTTTCAGCGTTGCTTCCAGTGGGAGAGCAAAATTCCATCAGCGCGAGGGGGGCATTTTGGGTCGTCGCAGAGGCCTCCACGGCTAACATATCAAAATAAAGTCCGGGGACAGACTGGTCAGCATTTGAATTTGAATCCATCCCCAATCCTTTTTTCTTATGAGTCTGCATTTCGCCGAGCACTTTTCAAGAGATAAGCTTTTCGCACGATGTGAGGCAGAACGAATTTGGAAGCTTCATAGACGACCTGCCAAACCAAGGCGACAAAAGTCATAAAGCTGGTGCATTTTAGTCTGCTTGTTGACGCGGGCGATGAATCGTGACATCTAGATAAGCTCATTACAAGTGCTCTGCAGCATCTGCTGTGTATGGTGCTGCAATGTGCTGCCCCTGGCCGACAATCGCACCTCGTGAACCGTTGTCGCCGCCCCTGACATCAGAGCCGCTCACAAATGCCTGGCGCAGATCACGACTTTCTGATTGCCGTTGCTGGCCGCGGCGGTTAGCGGCACGTACCTACGCAAGCATGCCGCCACCCTCCTGAAGACTTACTCTAAATAAATCGGGCTTTCGAAGCGTCGGAGTGTCTCATGCCTGGCGCGTGAGGAGTTAGTGTGGTTAATCATATCCTATAAGGCGAAACCACAATGGGCAACAATGATGGTTCATGCAAACAACAAGCATAAAAAGGCTTCACAACACAGTCTTTACCCGCCCTTCAGTGTGCAGAGGGTCTCTGGCTTAATTTTAGACACTGTAATAAGACATCATATGATCAACTGCATGGCAATGATTACCTTATAAATATAAAAGCAAGCGAAAAGTTACAACTAGCTTTGGGCCTCAAGCCATCTACGGGTTGCGTACAACCGTAGATGGCTGGAAGAAGTTGTGGATGGCTTAAGGCCGAAAGATCGTTTTACATTTTGTTTTTATGCTTATGATATTATCATTGGAATGCATGTGAGCATGTGCATTCTTATTTCAGCCTATACTCGGTTAAGTGAAGCCTTCATTGGAGCGCCTTATATTGTTTTGGCGTCGCATGAAATGCCTAAAAATGGTGCATCGGTCAGGCAAATATGGAAAAGTGTTAAAAGGAGCCGACCGAAAACGCCCACGAACTCGTGGGCGTTTAAAGTATTGCTAAAACCGTGAACCAGTTAGTATCATAACTGCAGTTTTGCGGACTTGGGTCAAACACCAGCATTTTATGTAAGCACGAGTTTTGCTGGACATGCTGGACGACGCCAAATGTCATCGTGAGATATCAATCTTGGAATTCACAAGCATATACTACAGGGACTATTAACAGACAGGCAAAAGAACAAGGCTATATTAAAAGACGCAACAGGGCTTCTGGTACAAGAGTGACCTGGAGTTTTCTCCGAAATATCTCCATTCGCTTTGCGTGGTAGTAAGATATGCTGCTGTTTACCGCATGCACGGTTTTGTCCAGCGCGTTTTGATGGTTGGTGAGCTTGGTTATTTGCCATACACGTTAAGGGTAGTAAAAAGTAAAGTAAACGCAAACTAAACTTTAAAATATGGGTAAGCCAGTTATCATTGCTGAGCCTCCACCTTAAAATATGGGGTCACGGTCCCTTCCCCACTCCCAACTCCTGTTCCAGTGCCCATGAAATGTATCAGTTTGTGCACCCCATACTTTACATCCCAAAGATCTTAAATTACAAGGCATGTTAACACTGTATCCTTCGTAGCGATAAATCGCGAACAGTTTTATGTGCTTTAAAGCTTCTTAAAATGCCGCCCCGAGACAGATAATCATGCAAACTCATGCGATTGTAAGCCCTTTCAATGCAAGCTGACCTCTAGAGGTCGCGGTACACTAATCGATATTGGACATTGACCAACAAGATCGTTGACAGCAACCCAATTTTACCTTGTGTAGCCTGGGAATGGACACCAGAATATAAATAACCCATTGCACTTTTATCTGCTTGGATAACATAACTTTCCTTTACAAATGACCTAACCTGGCCCAATATTTTTCCTGAGTCGTCCAGTGAACTCCTGGGCTGTGAAATTATGCAAACGGTCAAATGTAGAATTATGCACCCGGGACTGATTTCTCATACCTTGGCGTCCATTTTAAGGGAATAAGAACAAAAAATTGGCTGGTGTTAACAGCTTTGTAAGTCCATGTCAAATATAGATGTGGCAAATTATGGTTTCTGGATGTCAAGGTTTTCGATGTATGGGATAATGCGTGCAATGGTCTACGTACCTTGTGACATTGGTGACCCCCGTACCTGTGCTCCGGTGACATTTGAATTGAAGGGGTCCCGATTTTCCTAAAGTTATAGTAATACAAAATTGATTAAAGGATATTCAGCAGGCTGAATCGTTTCAAAGGGGCCACATGACAAACAAGACGTCATTGTGCTGTAGAGAGCAATGCGGCATATTATACATTAAAATGGCGACAAGAGAATATAAATTCTACGCTGTATACCTTTCAGCGGCGTGCGGTGTCTATTAACTATACAATGGCACTGTATGGATACATCGCAGACATTAAGATGACTTTCCAGAGTTTGCATCAGATGCCGGGCCTATCTCCAGTTTGGTACGCTGCCCTACAGCGGAAACGACCACCGAGCCTGAAGAAGATGGCTGCAGATTTTCGATCAGGATACGGGACGTTCCACAGAGTGAGCAACTGTCAGCTGGACACACTCGCAGCGTGGACCTCAGTCACCAGGTCAAGCCACCAGTACCAGTGTTTTGATGGCAAAACTTTCAATGAGTAATTTATTGAGTAAGATTGCGCTGCTGATTGCTGCCCTCTTGAAGGTGCAGCAGCGAGCATAGACAAGCGTTCGTCCCACAACATCTGTCTTCTGTCCCACCGTCATCTGCCTACTGTCCGATGACATCTGTATACTGTTCCATCGACATCAGCGTAATGTCCCACCGACGTCTGCCTACTGTCCTACGACATCTGCTTACCGTCCACGACATCTGCCTACTGTTCCATGACATCTGCCTACTGTCCTACAATATCTGCCTACTCTCCCACCAACATCGTGCCATCTGCATGAAACTTAAAACGGGCGAGTGTACCGGTGACTAGATAACAGGCAGGCATCAAC